ATAAACAAAAAAATCAAAACAAAGACACAAAGCAGTGTTTGGATGCTCGTTCCAAAATTCGTACTAGTACCTGTGTATGAAGTACAAGCAAAAAATTAAGGCCGGTAAGAGTACGAATATGAGGGCAAAATAAGGCCTGTACGAAAGTACCACTAACTTTCAAAATTCCAAACACTGTCCAAAATAAATGTTTGTGAAAAAAAATTATAAACAATCACGGATTGTATTTAACTACAGCTTTTTCATTTGTAGCTTCAAACTTAATTCCACAAAAATTAAGTATTGGATCTGCAATGTTGTCTACATAAATTTTGCAAAATCCTTGAAGAAATGGATAAGATTCTTCATCAAATTTGTTGGCCCGTCCACAAAATTCTTTGGCATATAATATATGTAAAATTCCAGCGTTAATAGCTTCGTTTACAAATTTAAGCTGCGCTTTTTTCATATCATACTAAAAAAATACTAAATAAATAGTTGTTTAAAAAAGTATATTATAATTCACTTGGAAGGTGAGTTAAAAATAGTAGCATGCTATGGCATTCTATTAGAGGAAATAATGTAAAATAATAAAAATAACCCATCATCGATTTGGATGGTGGGCCAGTAGCTCCACTGATAATTAAGAGGGGTATCGGGAAGGGATATACGGGTATCAGGTGATAAGTAATATCAATATATTAAGGTTTGATTCCAAATTTGATACCTTCCGATTTCCTACGTTTTTTCTCTTCCGATTTTCGCAAAAAATTTTTATTTCTGATTTCCGACTTTTGAGCCAGTTCCGATTTCCGACTCTTCCGATTTCCGATACCTCTGATTGTTCCAACCCACCTCTGGTCAGTAGGTTGTACTACGGTCTGGATTCTTTCCATGATGGTATAATAATATATATTATATATAATACATATATAATAATGACGGGGTTAACGGGATTCCGATTAGAGATGTCGGTCATAAAAAATATTTTATAATTGGTGTTTCCGCACTTGCAGAAAGAATATAATAAAAATAAATAACCCTGCACCGGGTTTGATGGTGACACAGTCGGTTGTTCTTTCGGTTTGGGCCCTTTCCATGATGGTTCTATTCCATCTCCCATCCAATGAATTTTTCCTCAGCATGAAAATTATAATAATAACAAAACAATTTACATACCAAAATCCGAATCATGATACGATTTTTCTTTCTTAACGTTCGCTTCAATTCATTTTTAAAGTGCTTCAACGATTTAATATTTTTAAAATTATTTAAATTTATTTTGATTTTATTTTTTGTTTTTAATAGAAAAAATAAATCCAACAATTTCTTTTCATAATTTTTGTTGAATAATACATTTTCAATACAGTAAATTAATTGTTGAAAATTTTTCGATTTTTCGGAAAGGCTTATTACATCTTTTGAGTTACTAAATATAATTGAATTTATTTCTTCCACAGGTGTTTGATCGGGAATGTAAAATTGAACGTTTTCTGAATTTTAAAAATTAATTATAAAATTCTTTTAAAATTTTTTTAAATAATTACTAAGTTGGACAATTTTAGCATGGCTGTCAATCAACTTTTGTTCTAAATCCTCATGTTCTAAAGCCTTATATTCTAAGTTCTCAAGTTCTAAAGCTAATTCATGTTCATCAGCAGTTAGTTCATTTTTAGCCGCAATTGTTGCAGGCAAAATAAATGGTAGGAGTAAATAAACAAAATTTGTTTTCTTCATTTAATTTTTAAATTAAAATATGTAACTATTTTAATTTAAAAATTTTTCTAAAATAAAAATAAAAGGACATCTTTTCGAATAATGAATAAATTTTTATTATTTTATTTTAAATAAAAAACATAAAATAATAGGGCCACAAAAAAGTTAAATTAAAAAATAAGTTTAAACCCGAGTGATTCCCAGATTTTCATATAAAAATTCTTCTATGTGTAGATTCGGTGATATTAGAGGATTTTAAGAGATTGAGATTAAGAGATTTAAAGTAACGTAAATTCTCTAGTAGAAGCACACCCGGTAATAGTTCGGATGAGACTCCCCCCTATTTTTTGCTTTCTAAAAGTATTAAAAATGGTCAGTCAGTCTTTGGTTATAAACTCGTCGAGCTGTGTCGAACGACACCAAAGTCAAACCCTGGTGTTAACATAGGGCCGAAATATAGACAAAAACCCTGCTCAAAGATTTCTTTTAATTAACCGGGTTTTCTTTTTCTCATCAAATATTATATTCGACAGAGCTCGACGAGTTCTATAACCTAAGACTGACTGTCCATTTTTTAATACTTTTAGAGAAAAAAGAGGGGGGTCTCATTCAAACTATTACCGCACACCCTCCAATAGAAGCACACCCCTATTATACAGACTGAAAAAGCATGTATTATTTTTATTGTTTACATTTATGTCAAATATAGTGAATAATTTTTATAAATGCTCGGCATAATCATTTTTCCGAATCCAGAATCCGGATTTTTGAGTTAATATTCATATCGGAGCGGATCGGGTTTTCTTTTTCTTCTGTTTCGGAAATTGATGTTGTAGTCAAATGTTTAACTACCTTTAACACTCAACTGTCTGAAGTATTTTAAAAGCAAAAGCTTTAAAAAATTTAATTAAAAAGAAACCCAACGGTATAAAGAATATACCGTATTTATTCTAATTGAATGGCACCTCCAATTGAATGACAATTTTTTGGGGTATTGAAAAATAGAATGGCTGCCATTCAATTAGAATAAATACGGTATAAAGGTTTTTTACGGCTCTAACTGTTTAGGCATGTTTCTACTTTTCTGCTGGTTTTAGACATGGTTTTGACTTTTTACTGTCTTCATTATGCCTTCTGATTGTCCACTTTATAAAGACTAGCTTTTTCAACTCCTCCCATTCCGTTGAATTTTTAAATGGGAATGTCTAGGCGAGACTCTGGCAATTAACAAATTCTTCAGACATGCCCAAATTCAGATGTTTCCTTTGTCTAAAATTTTATTTCCTTTCTCTCTCCCTTCGAAGACAATGGAAAAATATTTTTTATATAGCTGGCCAGAAATATTTGCCCTTTAAGGCATGACATCTGGCATTGATTAAAGTCAGCTGAATAATTAATTTTTCAATGTCAAAAATCAATTTTTTATAATAATTTTATTTAAATTAAATTTTAATTTTAAATTATTTAATAATTTTTTAAAATAAACTTTTTATGAAAGGGTTGAATGTCGTCCCGTTAGGGGAGAGAATCGAAGTCGGGAAACTCTACATTTATATTTGTCAGAGATGGGTCGAAACAATCAGAGGTATTGGAAATCGGAAGAGCCGAGAATCGGAACTAGTTCAAAAGTCGGAAATCAAAATTTTTTTCAAAAATCGGAAAGAATAAAAACGTCGGAAATCGGAAATCGGTCGGACCTCTGATATTTACTCATCAAATTTGATTATTGCGAAAAAAGTTTTATTAAAAATCTTTTTTAATTTTAAAAATTACTTAAATTTATTTTTTTATTTTTAAATAAATTTAATTTTATTTATTACCCCTTCTATAAATCCATTATAGAAATAAATTTATTTATTTATTAGTCATTTACAATGATTAATCAAAATAAATCGCGTATAGAAAAACATTTTTCTCCCCAATTTAAAGTAAAAATGACTGGAAATATGTTTAAAAAATTTATTTTTTTTTTTTGAAAATTTAATTTCTTTTTATTCTCTTCATATTCTTTTTATTAAAAATTTTTTACAAATATTCCAGGCATTTTTTCAAATATTCCAGGCACCATTTTCAGCTCCTTTATCTCTCATTTTTCGTGTAGTATATTTTTCTAAAACCCTATTTTTATCAAAAAATAATTTTTATAAAATAAAAAATAGATCCTTAAAATTTTCCCCTTCTTTTCAGAATTTCCGGCTTTTTTGCAAAAGAAAACTTTTCTTTATGTCCTTGTGTACTAATCATCTTTTGGATTTACTCTCAAAACAATTCTCTCTCTTGGGATTTGTTTTTATTCTTAAAAATAAAAGAGAAAAGAAAGTGCCAAAAAAATATTTCTTTATTTCAGAATTTAAAAATCCATTTTAAAATTTTTATTTCCGAATTTATTGTTGTAGATAGAGATGCCATTTTTGAGTCAAACCAGTGTTTTTACTAGGGAGTTCCAAACAATGCTTTGTGTAAAATAGAAGACCCGAGATTTCCTGCATGTACATATGTATATCCCTCCAAATCACTGATATCCTTTGTATTATCTCAAATCCTCTTAATTTTCTAGAAATCCTCTTAATTTCCTTTTATTCGGCATAGGAAAATTTTTTGTTCCGGATCTGGGCACTGCTTTCATTTCCTCCTTTAATCTGGTTTTTACTTTTTCCTTACAATAATTTAAATTAATTTTAAAGTTTTAATAAAATTAATATTTATAAATCAATTGCATAATCCCCCTAATTGATGACTAAGATGTTGTTGATGATAAGAAAATATGTAGAAAGGAAAAAGAAAGAAATTCTCGACCCTATACATATTTTTAAGAAAGGTTTTTGTATTTATTGTGAAGGGCAGAAGGAAAGTAAGGGAGGGGAGAGAGGAGGGGGAGAGGGAGGTCGGGAAGGTGACTTGCTCTGCTTGAAGGACGTTTATTTACGTTCACCTAGCGACCAAACCATTTACTTTCCTTCTCATTTTAGCACTTGACTTTCTTCTAGTTTAAAATTGAGAAACAAAATCTTTTCCATATCTCAATTATCTCTCTACCATTTTACCTTTATTCTGCGCACCCATTTTTTCTTTATTGCCAGCCGTCTTAAAAAGGGAGGAAGGCGACTTTAAAGTCTTTTTTAAATCAATACAAAATTGATTTCTATTTTTATTTTTTGATTAATAATTTTTTTTTATTAATAAAATAATATTTTTTGATCATTTCTTCCTTCTAAATATTTTTAAAAATAATTTTAATTTTAATTAATGAAGAAAATATTTTAATAATTTTGAAATGAAATAATAAAATTAATTAATTAAATGGACGACATTGCATCTATAGAATCTGTTGAACCTCTTGATCAGGTGGATACAAAAATATATAAATTGAATTATTATGTATTAATATGTCCCCTCCTTCGCAAAATGTGTAAAATGGATCTAGTGAAATTAATAAATAAATTTTCGATTTTCGGGATTCCTAGCTACATATTATGTTTAAGTTGAGAGAAACATGCACCTTTGAACTATGAGCTTGGCATAAGGAACAATGGAATTTGAATAAATATTAATCCAAGACACTGATTTTTATTGGATGTCCTTAAAGAAATAATATTTAAAATATATTTATAAATTTGGGGTACGATATTCGCGGAGGATCATTGGAATTAAATGACATAAGCGTCAGATATCATTGCTTCTTATAAATTAGGGTTGGACATAGCCGGTTATTAACCAGTACCACCGGTTTTCGGTTGATCCAATTTTAAACTACCCGGTTTTTGGTTTTGAGTTTTAGACAATTACCGGTTTTATTTTGATGGAATTTTTTACGCAGTTTCACAAATTTCGGTTATTCGGCTTCAAAATTTTCTAAAAACAGTTTATTTTTGGAGAAAAATCTCAAAAATTCCGGTTTTAAAACCGGTCGTGCCCAACCTTAGTATTAAACAAAAAAAGTTCATTGTTTTAATGTTGAAAAATTAGGCTGATTCATGAATTATTTAATATTACTTAATTTTCGATTGTCTGAGTTCTACAATTTTTGTTTTAAAAGCGGTGCTTTCCCTAAACTTGCCTATAAACTTTAAGAATCGACTTAAATGTTACTTGATCTTATTTTTAATATATCAGATCAGTTTTTGGTGCCTCACAATCTCCACAATGTTCAGTAAGAATTTAAAATTCCTAAAAATATTTTTAAAATTATTCCCTAAAAGAATTGGTAGCAATGGGTGTTACAATTTTTGTTTTGCCTTTTAATGATTGGATTCATTTGGAGAGAGATGGAAGCCAAATGACTATAATTGTTAATTTTGAAAATTTTTTAAAAGTTCAAAATTTTTAGAGGGGTATTTCTGGAAATGATTGTGTTTATGAAAATGTTAACGCAAAAATTCGTTGTACAAGATGGAACGATCCTTTGGAAAATAGAGAAAAATTTTGGTCAGGTTTCAATTTGAATGCTGTCCAAATTGAAAGGCCTAGTGGAAGTAGGTATATTTAAATTTAATATTTAAAGTAGGGTTTTAATTTAATGGCCCACCTTAAACTGTTTTTATGTCTTATAAACCTGGTATGTATCAGGGATCGCACCGACAAAATTCCCGAATCGCAGAAATTTTTCTGAAAAATCGGGAATTTTCGGTAATTTCCCTATCATATCTGGCGTTGAATAAGGAAAAAATCTGGCTTCATAGTCTTCTAGAATTTTCAAAATCCTCTACTTTATTGGCTCATAAGGTTCATCAGTTTTAATAACAATGTCCAAAATCAACCCCGCCAAAAATCTACAAAATTCCTGATTTTGTGAATTCTGTCGGTGCAATCTCTGGTATGTATGAATCCATAAAGTTCGCGCTATGGAGGATTTTAACTACCGGACTTGAACTTTTATTCTTTACACATTTTCCGTACATAAGGCACACAATACACTTTCATATTATCTTCTGGGATATAAAGGGCATATTCTAAAAACACAAATTAAATTTAAAAATTTAGTGTATCGAGCACTCTTCTATTTTGTACTCCTACAATTATTTCTTTTTGTATTCGACATTGGAGCTTCAATGGTTATGTGCCGTAGGTACAGATTTCAAAAGGATGGCGAAACAGTTGAGAAAAGGATATCAATGGCTTTAACAGGCATAATATGTTTGTGAATATCTATTTTTTATTTATATTTTCCAAAAATATTTATTGAGATGGTTCAGATTATTTTTAAGGCAAATTTCTCTACTTTTAGTAAACTTGAACCTTTTATTCAATATCACCTACTACTTATGTATCACATAATTTAGAGATGTTGATTTTTTAAAGAAACATCTTTGACATTCTCCATTTTATTGGAGGGATTTTGTTCCTTACGGACGGCACATAATGCGAAGGGAACAAGTTACTATATCAATTTGACCTTTATCTTTAGCATAGACACCATACCTAAAAATTTTTAAAATTACTAGAATATCCAGAAAATTTTTATTTTCAGTATTCTTCCACTTTGTGATTATTTTTACAACAATTTCTGCCAATTCAGACTTCACCAATTCCTTGCCACCTTTTGATAGTTGTATGGGGACGGCTTTTAAATTATTTGTTGGAATGTTTATAATTTTTGGTATCGGGTGTTTTCTAACACATTTTTCAAGAATTTTGTTGATTCGAGAAAAAAGGAAGGGAAGACAAGATTTTCAATTAAATAATGGAGGAGGGAGGGGGGCAGCTATGGAATTGATGTGATTAATTAATTTTTGGATTTATATATTTATTTGCTTTAAATTTATTTTTAATAATGTATTGTTTATTCTCATTGTGTGTAGTGTGAGGGACAATAATTTTCTATCTGTAAAGTGAACTATTCCGTTTCGGATATAAAAAGATTTCCATCCGTGTTTTAACATTTTTGACAGAGTTTAAGGCCAGAATGCACTTTACTGGGAAACTAAGTTTGTGGAAACAACGTTGAGCCGTTAACCCCTCATATTTAGGGTTAACGGTTAGGAAATGAACCAAACCGTTGAACTCTTCCGTTTCGGATATACAAAAAGACCAGTGTGTAAACCACAAGGGTCCAAGCTGATCTTTCGGTATTATATAAGCCAATTTACGCGTGCCAAGGATTTTTACTTAGTACAAGCCAAGAAATGGACCGAGAATTTCAGTATCGGGTTCGAGAACGAGAATGAAAAAACCGAGACCGATATTGGAAAAAATCCGAGAATCTCGGTATCGGTCTCGTCTTTTTCAACTCTACTTTAAAGGATGAATGGTATCTTATAGGTAAACTCCAGGGTTGGATTTCTGCCAATAAAAAGACTTCAAAAAAGCCGACTAGCAATTCACGTGAATTTGTGGGAAATGAAAAAATCAACTGAAAATTTCCAAATATCCGAAAAAAAAATCCGCAGTCCTTCGGCTTTATATTCTGTATGCCCGTTAATTAGTGTTCCAGTTATTCCCTCTTATTTTGTTTCGATGGATAAATCCTCCTCGGAAATACATGTTTAGAATATTTTTAAATATCCAAATCCTAATAAATCACAATCCATTTAAGGCAATTAAATTAATTTTATTAATTTTTAATCCTCCAACTTCGCACAAAATTCTAATTCTAATTGAAGTATTTTCAATTGATCGCTTACAGTATCTGTTTTTAATGTATAATGTGTTAGGCCATCATATTTCATTTCTTTTTTTGTTCCTTCAACAATTGAAGTTCTCCATCCATATGCCATATTATTTGGGCCTATTATTGTGTCGTTAGTTGACCAAAAGCTTGCCTAAAATAATTATTTTTGAAGTAAAAATAAATATTAGGGTGTAACATAAATATTTAGCCCCCATTAAATCATTAAAGTTTGAAAATGTATGTATATCTCAATGTTCAGATCTCCAATCTGTTTAATTTTTTTGTCATATATTCACAATAATGCCTTCTTCATTTTCTGAAAGATTTGAAATTTTTGTTTTATTTAAAAATTTTTTATGAATTTTTAATATTAAAGGCAAAATTATTAAATTAGCGTCTAGTTCAAATATATTTGCCAGAAAATAGGCAACTCTCTTAGGATCATAGAAAAATATAATTAGAAGTCTGAAAACATTTAGTTTAATTTTAATAAATATTCATTTAACTTTGCTCAAGGGGGGCTAATTATTTATGTTACACCCTAATATAAGTAAAAATAAATTTATTACAATATATTTAGCATCATCTCTTGAATAATTCAATTTTGCCAATATATCCCCAGAATTATCTTCACAGGGAAGAATATTTTCTCTACACAGTGTTACATCTGAATAGTTTGGACAGCTTGGACCAACCCAGAAACCAAACTTTAAATTTTTTAAAATTAAATAATTAAATTGTATACTAAATAGCAGGGGTGGGCCGGGTCCCAAAAAGTACGAGACACGAGATTCACGAGACACGAGACACAAGATATTATAGAAAATATAAGGATTTGAATGGATAATGATTTCAGGTGGATTATGAATGGTTTGGGGATTTAGAGGCTCAAAGGATTTATATGGTCAATCTGTTTTTAATGTAACTGTTTTTAATGTATGGAACACTTTTTTTATATGGTCGAGATACGAGACTAAGCCCACCCTACTAAATAGCCCGATACTTCTTTACTGCAAGCTGGAACTCTTTTTGTATCGTTAATTGTTTCTCCTTCACCATCAGCACAAATACACATCCCAAAGTTAGCACCAGCGATTGCAATAAATTTATTTATTTTACTTTTTAGAGGGGCTCCAAGTTGGCACTTCAAAATAAAATTTTTAAATAAAAATTTTATTTTACTCTGTGTAAAATCCGCATATTCCCTTGAATAATAATTTTTGCATAAGTAACACCCATTGAATGAGCAATAATATCTATTTCTTCTGCACCTTATATTCCAAAACAGCATCTACAAATCTTCTCAATCTTGTAGCAGTTCCACAAGTTAATTTACTTTATAAAAAATAATTTTTGGATAAAAGAATTATTTTAATTTTAAATCATTTAATTGTTAAAAATTTTTATATTATGTAAAATTTAATTCGTTCACTATTTTCTCATAACTTTACTCTCAGATGGATGGACATGAACCTTAATAACAATCTTTTTATTCTGATCAGTGATGTCAAAGTTCCAGTTCCGGAACTAGAACATCGGAACTAACGATTATCTGGATCTAGTTTGGAGCTGGAACTACGGAACTAATAGATGTCTGGAAATAGCTTTGGAACTAGTTCTTCTGATCTGCTGTTAAATCATTTTTAGTTTAAAAATAAACGGGACAAAATTTTTTTTATTCCTAATGAATTAAAAAAAGCTAATGTTTATTATTTAACTCTTGCTATGTATCAATAATCAAAAAAACTACTTTTCCAAAGATTTTGTAATATTTCTAACTCCATAAGTTGTTGCATATAATTCAGCTGTAGTATATCCTCCATGTGACATAAAATAACTAATTGATTTACTCCATCCACTGTTCCAATCACCACCATGCCCAGCCAACGCCCCATCAGAATTGCCATGAATAAATACTACTGGACGTTTATTTATCTAAAAGTTTTATATACATACATACTTAGGTGGGTCGAGAAGTCCGAGGTGTCGGAAATCGGAAGAGCCGGAAATCGGAACTGGCTCGAAAGTTGGAACTCGGAAATCAAAATTTTTTTCGGAAATCGAAAGGAAAAAACGCCGGAAATCGGAAGTCGGAAATCAGAAGTTCGACTCACCTCTCATACATACTTAGGTCAATATTGAAATTATTAGTTATCTTTTTTAAAAGTATTATAAAAATTTCAATAATTGCATAATTATTAGAGTTGGCAGAAAAGTGCAAATTACACCAATCCCAACGAGTAGGATAAATTTTTGACAAATATCCTTAGTTTTTTGTTGTATCTATATTTATTTATGTGGAAAGATTCGGCTTATAAGGATACCTAATTTTAATTTAATTTTCTAATATTCACCGGCTGATTTTTGTATTTACGCCCACCAAAACTATTTGAATTACCAAAACCAGCAAAGTCTTCATAATATTCATGCCTGTCAAAATTTTTTTTAAATTTTTTTAATTTTTAACGCAGAAAAAATATTTCTTAATTCATATATACACTCTGTTCCAAAATTATAACCGCACCCCGATTTTTCTCAATATTTCAAGTTCCAGCCAATTTTTCTAAAAGATTTTTTTAATTTTCATATAGGACCATGGGATAAACAATATTTAATACTGAAACGGATTTTTAAATTTACGGACGTTAAATTATTTAATTTTTTTATAATATAGGTCCTATATATCCCATGGTCCTATATCAGGGCTGGGCGAAATCTAAAAATAAAAAGCGAAATGCGAAATACGAAACTTTTCGCGCTGAAAAATGCGAGAATGCGAAAGATGCGAAACGCGAAAGTGCGAAATAAGCCCAGCCCTGTCCTATATGACAATTAAAAAATCTTTTAGAAAAATTGACTGGAACTTGAAATATTGAGAAAATTGGGGTGCGTTTATAATTTTGGAACAGAGTTTAAATGCCTCAATTAAAGCCTCGGTCTACATAATGGGAGGGGGCATCAGGACTTTTACGGTAATTTTATTTAAAATATAGGTATTTACTGAGCAAGCCATTCTTGAAAGTCTTGTGTTAAAGGTCCTTCTACTTTATCAGGTTTCACTATCTCAAATTCAGGTTTACATTCACATTGCTGGTTACTTTCATTTAAATTAGGGTTGCGCCCCGACCCCGACTAACCCCGACCCCGACCCCGAACCCCGACATTTTTTGACCTAAAACCCCGACCCCGACATTCCCAACCCCGAAAACCCCGACCCCCGAAAGTTCGACCCCGACGACCCCGAACCCCGAAAAATTTTTATGCCCCCGACTCAAACTGCATTAATTAACAAGAGATCGGAACGGGATCGGGACTTTGATGTTAAATATATGAAGGAAAAGGGAAAGGAATATTTATATTTTCTCCTATTTCCTTTTGTTGGTCGGTGGTTGTGAGGTTAGGTTAACTGACTTCACCCATTTAGCTATTTTGATAGGGATGTTGTTCGAATCCATGGATGGGAATGAGGCTGAGAAGATTTTTCTTCTCAAAAATAAATATTTTTAAACTTTGATCTTGATTTTAAATTTGCAACTTTATTTTTTTTTAATATTTTAAACTTGAAACAATATTAGAAATATTAAACTAGTCATGAATTTTCCAAAATTTTTGCCTGCGGCGCAGAAAATGGAAGAAATCTGGCTCTTGACCTTCCAAATTTCTCAAAATTTTTGCCTGCGGCGCAGAAAATGGAAGAAATCTGGCTCTTGACCTTCCAAAATTCTCAAAGTTTTTGCCTGCGGCGCTAGACTCAATGAATGGATACAGAGGCTTTAGGACAATCCCTTTACATAAGAGGGGGAGTAAGAGTTATTTTGTGGGTTTGGGGATTTTCGGGATTATAAAGGATAACTTGGATAAAGTACTTCTTGCGCCTTCAACTAATAAGGAAATAGATACAGAAAGTGAAGATAATGAAGATTAAGTTCATTTTTGGGTATTGTGACTTATAGGGGGTTTTTTTTGGCTGGACCGATTTGGACAAATGAGGTGTCATTCGAAAGAGCTCGCCGAGCTGAGTCAATCAGGGACCGAGATACAGACCCCTGAAGTTTGAAAAAGAGAAGGGGGGTCGAATGAGCTATTATTTGCATTTTCGAATTTTTCACCC